AATGAGAGAATTTGCAGGTGGGATTGCTGGCCAGCTGGGAATCATCTTTGTGAAATTGTGGAGAATGGAAAGTTGCCCAGAACCTGGAGAGAGATTAATGTCCTCATTTCCCCCCAAAGAGGAAAGAAGGTGGAGTTCGGGAACTAATGACCATTGAACTTCATGTTGATCTTGAAAAAGAGTTGTAGACTCTGCAAGATTCCAATGATGAGGTGAAACATTTTTTAAAGGATGTGATGATCATAAAAATCAGCCAGGTTCATTAAGGACAAATTATGCCTCTGACTGCCTCTTATGATAGGGTTATTAGAGGAGGAATCAGGAAATCCTATAGGTGTGGCATATCCAGTTTTCACCAAGCATTTGTGAGAGTCATTCAAAGTATTGTGGATGGGAAGGATTAATTTGGATTGGGTGATAGTACAGTGAGGTGGATTCATAAACTCGTTAACAATCATCCACGTTTTGCTGACCTAGTAAACTCCTGGCAACTTCCTAACTGTGGGAGGTTTAATTAATTCATGAATGGCACATGCCAAATTATGTCCCCAAAGCCCATTGGTAAATTGTTTTTCTTGAATTTGTGACCCATTTTTCTATGGACAGTTTCCCTTTTGAACTCATTATGTATTATGCGTGTAAGAATTTGGGTGATACAACTCTTCTATAAGACTGTAATCCTAGAATGAGTTTTGAGCTCCAATACAGAAAACAGAGACATAACCATCTCCCTCTGCTGCAGGGGTAAGGGGCTGTGGGTGTTGGGTGGTAGGTAGTAGGGTGGGTAGAGACCACCTTGTTTCCCATGGCATTGGTCCTCCCAAGGGTTAGAAGTAGGGATTGTGGGGGCCTTTCTGTCAGTACCATTCAGGGCCCACAAGTTTGTACTGTATCTTTGACTGAATTGAAAAACCCTGGAAACGATTGAAAGTTTTTAAAGTAGAGGAACAACATCATTGGTCAGATTTGTATTTTAGAAATATTGCTGTGGCTGCAATTTGGATAATGCATTTGATAGGGTAAAACTTTAAGTAGAGAAACAAAAGATTATGCCAGTAACCCAGGTGAGAGATAATGGTAGTGGTGGGAATGAAGTAAAGTTGGGTGTATTTGAGAGAGATTTGGTAAGTAGAATTTACATGACTTGGTAGTAGATTGAATGTGGGGAAAGAGGGAGAGTAAGGAATCTAGAAGGGATGACTCCCAAGTTTCTGACTTGGGCATCTGAGTGGGTCGTGGTAGCCTGTATTGACATGAGAGACAGCATAAAGAGAAGACAGGAAAAGGATCAGTTTGGGCCATGAGGACTCAAGAGGTGCCTATGGGACATCAAGTAGAGATGTCCCAGTAAACTAACAGAATATAACAGTAAAATTAATTTCTTAGATCATAGCTGTGGCGATAAGCAGTTAAGGAGAGAGGCCTGGCTAAAGATACAACACTGAGTTTATTTCATTCCCTTTACATCCACCAAGTGAGACCCCACTCTAGACACCTTCCTTCTGTATAGAGATTCTTTTTTTTTTAAATTGAGATATAACTGTGAGATAGCATTATATTTCAGGTGTACAAAATGATTCAACATTTGTATACATTGCAACATGATCACCATAATAAGTCTAGTTAATATCCATCACCATACATGGTTACAAAATTTTTTTTTCTTGTGATGAAGACTTTTAAGATCCACAGTTGACCCTCTACCAATGAGGGCATTAGGGGCACCAACTCTCTGTGCAGCTGAAAATCTGCATATAACTTATAGTTGGCCCTCTGCGTCCACGGTTTCTCCCAACCACGGATCATGTAGTACTGTAGTATTTACTGTTGAAAATAATCCATGTGTAATTGGATGCATACAGTTCAAACCCATGTTCTTCAAGGGCCAACTGTATTCTCTTGGCAACTTTCAAGTACGTAATACAATGTTACTAACTATGGTCGCCATGCTGTACATTACATCACCATGACATTTATTTTATAGCTGGAGGTTTGTACATTTTTAGTGATATTTTACTGTATATCATTATCTCCTTAAGAGCATAAGTGCCACTAAGCTCATGTACTTATTCAATTCAAACTGTTCTATCTACAGGATTCTGGTTCCACGCAATTATGACTGTAGTAAGTAAAGAATAAACACATCAGGGTCTCCTAGATATTTCAAAGCATTCTGCTTCATCGTTAATCATGATAGTAGCCTGGTAAAACAGAAGTTTTATAAGTATCTCCTGAATGGTAATCTGCAATGCCTGTTAATTTAAGAGAAAATATGGTCTCAGAAATTAATTTTACTGTTATATTCTGTGGTCTTATAAATCACACTCTCTGGTGCATGAAAAATTAAAAAGAGCAATTGATACATTTTTCAACTTGTTAACATTTTTGAAACCAAACCAGGTCCTAGACATGACATTTTTGCATTGCTGTTGGAATTTCCATGCCCAGCGTCTATGTTCATTCTGTCCCATTATTTATTTTGGCTCCAGTGTTTGGCTTCTTCTTTGAAGTAGTTTGCTTTCAGTGTTTACAAAAGTGGACTTCCACAGCCAAAGAAAGGATGGGTAATGAGTCCGTCTGAAAGTGTTACAATTTTTGTTCGTAATGGAATAGGGTCACTCTACTATAATTGTTGTGAAAGCAAGGCAGAATGCCTAGGCAGTGTCAATTACTTGGCTGTTTTCAGTATGCATATGGCATACACACACGTGCACACACACAAGATCCCCGGTGCCTTATTTTGGTAATACTCTACTTCTGAATTCCATTGTAAAAAAGAAAAAGATAGAGTACAGTTTTAATGAAATGCAGTGCAAATGAATGATTGCTGACTTAAAACTAGGTCTCTGTTAATGTGCTCGTGATTCTCTGTTAATACTGAGGTGGAAAGCTGTATTGCTTTTGTGGCGAGCATTGTGAAATGAAACGGATACAATCAAGAGCCTTTTCCTTTTTATTGTTTGTCTGCCTTATGTATAAAATACTTTGATTAAGTTGTAGCCCACTGTAAAATTAAATATAAATTGTGATGCTGTGTATATTTTTGGTACTTTATGGTTGAAGTTTTTTCTCTTTAAATTTTTGATTATTTATGCTACATTATATACCTTCTTTCTGCAGTATACAGTAGACTTACCCAGGGGCATTCAAATGGGGCACAGAACTCAAATTTTTCTTTTTGAATTAACAATATTCCAGTAGGAGCTTAATGAAAGTTTCTTGAATGAAATCAGTGAACACTTAGATAATGATTATAGATATAAATGCTGTGTTAGCAAATCATAAAAACAAAGTCATGCTTTTTCTTTTTAACTTTTTCTATCTCTAGACTTAACTTTGCCTATGACAGAACCTTACAGTTTAAAAGATGGTCTTTGGAGTTAGGCTGACTGAGTTCAAATCTGAGCCATCAGTTTCTAACCATGTGACCTTGGACAAGCTTTGAACTTCTTTAAATCTCAGTTCCGTCCTCTGTGAAGGGTTAACCCATATGGATTTTGTTAGCACTAAATGAGAGAATATGTGTAAAGCCTTCAGTGCCTTCATACAGTAAGTTCCTGATAAGGATTAGCTATTATTCCATTGTGTATATATGCCACATCTTCTTTATCCATTCATCTGTCGATGGACACTTAGGTTGCTTCCATGTCCTGGCTATTGTAAATAGAGCTGCAGTGAACATTGTGGTACATGACTCTTTTTGAATTATGGTTTTCTCAGGGTATATGCCCAGTAGTGGGATTGCTGGGTCATATGGTAGTTCTATTTTTAGTTTTTTAAGGAACCTCCATACTGTTCTCCATAGTGGCTGTATCAATTTACATTCCCACCAACAGTGCAAGAGGGTTCCCTTTTCTCCACACCCTCTCCAGCATTTATTGTTTGTAGATTTTTTGATGATGGCCATTCTGACTGGTGTGAGGTGATAACCTCATTGTAGTTTTGATTTGCATTTCTCTAATGATTAGTGATGTTGAGCATTCTTTCATGTGTTTGTTGGAATCTAAAAAAAAAAAAATGTAAAATTGATAGCTAGTGGGAAGCAGCCGCATAGCACAAGGAGATCAGCTCGGTGCTTTGTGACCACCTAGAGGGGGGTGGATAGGGAGGGTGGGAGGGAGGGAGACAAAAGAGGGAAGAGATATGGGAACATATGTATATGTATAACTGATTCACTTTGTTATAAAGCAGAAACTAACACACCATTGTAAAGCAATTATACTCCAATAAAGATGTTAAAAAAGAAAGATTAGCTATTATTATTGTATCTGCCTCTTCAGCCTATACCCCACCTTCACACTACCCAGTAGGCTTATGTTTGTCCCTTAGATTGTGTTTTTTTCTTTAATCACTGATTCAATGCCATCTTAGAATGTTTTGCCAGATTTTTTTTCACCTTTCTGTTAAAACTTTCCCATGGTTTTTCTGGGTCATGAGTCATATCTCTTGTTTCGGTGAAAGCTGACATTCTACTGAAGTTCATCAGTTCCCTAACTAGACCTCCACGCATCTGTGGTTCTTTGGAATATTTTATCTTGCAGGGGATGTTGCTCTACATCTATCCTCTCTTCCTCCCTCCCCTCTAAAACAAGCCTTCCATTGAGTTTATTTGTAGAGCATGTTTGGTTCCTTTTTTGAGTTACTTTGCAGAAAGTAAATTAAGCCATGGAACCATCATACACATACCTCATACCAGAGCTTCTCTTCCTCTTAAGGGCTAATTTGAAAGCTTATCTTAAAGAACCTGCCCCTCTTGGGAATTCTCTGGTGGTCCAGTGGTTAGGACTCCACACTGTCACTGCTGAGGGCCTGGGTTCAATCCCTGGTTGGAGAACTAAAAATCCCAGAAGCCGCATGGTGCGGCCAAAAAAAAGAAAAAAGAATCTGCCCCTCTTTAGAAGATCCACTATTTCTAACCAAATTCAACTTTATTTATGTTTTATTTCTTTTTTTCCTCTTTGTCTTTTTTTCCCCATTTCCATTATACCCCATTCTTTAAGATGTGGATGAATGCCTGGAACCAGATATCTGCACAAATGGTACTTGCTCCAACCTCGAAGGATCCTACATGTGTTCATGCCACAAGGGCTATACCCCAACTCCAGACCACAAGCACTGTAAAGGTAAATACTGTGATCAGATGTCTCATTTTTATTTGAACTGCACTTAAAAACATATTAGAGTAACTAGCCTAAAAAAAGGGAAACATACTACCTGTCATTTATTTTGATTGAGCTACTTGGAGCACATTTTGGTTGGCATCTTTGAAAGTGACTCTTCATGGTGATTAAATACAGACCCTATCTGTTTACATAGAGAAAAACTGTTTTTTTTAGAGAACATCTGTAAACCACAGATCTATTTTATTTCTTCCAGTTATAAAAACAATACATGCAGTTGTACAACTCTGTGAATATACTAAAAACTATTGAATTGTACACTTTAAATAGATGAATTATGTGGTGTGTGATTTTTATTTCAATAAAATTGCTATTAAAAAACACGCATTTGCTATATGAAATGTAGCAAATGCTGAAAGGTAAAAAAGATAAAGTAATAATCTTTCAACCTCATTTGTGGATATTCGTATCTCATGGGTATTTTATATCATTATGTTCTGTGTACAGTTTTCTATCTTGCTTTTTGTCATTTAATAGTATATCATGAACATTTTACATTTCATTAATAACTCTTTTCAAACATTAGTTTTAAAGGCAGTGTAATATCCCGGCATATTGCTGTGTCACCATTTTCTTGCTGTTCTTCAGGTGTTGAACAACATACTTTTTCCAGCTTATTATGTAAAAATAAAACCTAACAGGCATCTCTTTAAAACATAAACCTTTGCCTGAATTTTCGGATTACTTCCTTATTTATAAAAGTGGAATAATCAGGCAAAATGTTCTGTGTTTAACTATTTCAGTAGAAGACCACTAATTTCTAATTTTAAAATGTGTGTTTCTTTTACTTCTAAAAGATTTAATATGTATTTTATGTGCTAATTTCCTAAACACTTCTAATTATTAAACACTTATTTCATACATCTGTTAAACATTTATATTTCCTCTTTTGTAAATTTGTTAATATCTTTTCCCATTAATCAAGTTTTTAAGTCAATGTGTATGAACACTTTATATATAGGATATATATATATAAACCTGTGTACAGTGTATATATTTAATGTATACCGTTTTCTTTAGAAATAAATTAATAAATGTAATTAATTAATAAATGTAATTTGTCCAAGGTTTTGCTAATTTTTTAAATAATTTTTTAAGAAGTTTTCATTTTTTCTGTGGTTAAATCTATGGATTGTTTCCCTTCTGCTATCTTCCATCACTTTTATACCTAAAAGCATGCTCTCTCAAAGGGAGAAAGAGGAAATAAGTAAAAATTTTTTTCTTTACTGTCTCAGTGAAAGTGAAGGATCTAGGGTAATGGTTAATTTATCACTGTGGTAGGGAAGCAGTAAACAGATACCCTACTACTGACCTGTAAGAATTGAAGCATCTTCCACTGGCAGTAGGGAATTCACAGACATCTGTATTTGCTGCCTTACTCCTTCCATACAGCAGAATACTGTCCACTCCCAGGAGAACGTATGAAGTAGGCACATCTCCCTTTTCTCCTGGTCCTTTCCCACATCCATAGCTTTCCTTCTGAATCCTTAAGCTGGGCATCTCCTCAGAAAAAGTTAAACATGAGAATCACTTGAAATGTATTATATCTTCCTTACATACAGGACTAATGGTGGCTGAAGGTCTCCACGTTGGAAGCCATTGTTAATCTTTATTTGCTTGCTGTATCTGGTTTATTGCCATAACCTGTCATGTTACTTTCTCTTCCCAGTCTGCCTGCTGCTTTTCATCTGCTTAGTCATAAAAACCCTTGTAATCGGCCCGCACTTCATATTCCAAATTTGTCACCACTGCTTTCTTCAGTTTGCAGTCTCTGTCCCATCCAACTGGTGTCACAACTGCCCTGGGTATATTCTGTGCTTATTTTGACTCAAGTACTTGCTCATAATTATCCTGCCCTGCACACTCATCTTCTTTCTCACTACTGACCTGAATCCTGGCTCTTCCAGGGATTCACTATACCACCTTGGATAAATAATCTCAGGTTTCCTGATATCATGTCATCCCTAAAATTCGAGGATTGGACTCTCTAGAGGGAAAATGCCCAGAGTAAATACATGTTGAATGAATGACTCATTACCACCGTCTTCCTCTTGGCATTGCCATCCCAGATGAGCCTGCTCCTCTCTAGTCAGTCCCCCTACTACCTGAGAATTCACACCATCAATTGATGCCACCCCTAGGAACACTCGTATTTTCTAGTATCTGGGGCACTCTGCTGGGCTGCTGCAGAAGCTTCTATTCATCCTTCCTTTCCTTCCTCTCAAGTGTATGAAGGAACCAACATGTTCCAGGCACTACGTATGTTACCAAGAGGCTGAACTCTCTCAAAGAACTATTACTCATTGGAAGCGATGCAAACCTGCATCAGATAATTGGAGACAATAAAGTACTAAGTGATGAAAGTTAAGTTGTCAGTGATGTCATGTGAATGTCATGTACTCCTGACATTATGTGAGGACCAAAGCACTTCACCTCTGTGCTGTTCTTTCCAAAAACCTGTAACCCCAGTCTTAATCATGAGAAAAACATCAGACAAGTCCAAATTGGGGACATTCTATGGAATTCTGGCCCATATCCTCAAGGCAATTGACGTTGTCAAAATAAGGAAAGACTGACTGGAGAGATGAGACACCTGCATATAATGTGTTCCCCTGGATTGTATCCTGGAACAGAAAGAGGACCTGCATAGAAAAACTGGTGAAATCCAAATAAGTCTGGAGTTTCTTTTTTTTTTTTTCTTTTAAAAGGCAGTATGTCATATTCTAGCTGTGATACTCTGAAGCTGTGTTAGCTTGGGTAAGTTATCTCATTTCGCCAAGCCTTACTTGCTCATCTGCAAGAAGGTAACAATAATGGCATCTGTGAGGACTGATGTGAGGATTGCATGAGATAATATAGGGTAATGAGATATCAGAGATAATACATGGAGGATGAGATATAAGGCAGGGGCAGAGCATGACATTTTGTGGTAGATGTTGTTATTCACCGAATAATAGGCATGAACAAAGTTCTGCTGAAGCCAAGAAGTGTGTGACTAATTCAGATTGCATGCTTCTGGGAAGGCTTTGCAGAGGTGTCGCTATTTGAACTTGGTCTTAAAATATTGAATACAGAAGGGAGAAAACCTTAGCAGGCAGAGGAAACAGCACTGCATTGACTGTGTCTTCACCTCACTCAGTGTACTGACAACTCTTTTCAGGTTGTAAATACATTATCTAGTGTATTAATCCATTACTTATTTGTATCTTTTTATATTTGTATCTTTGTATTTCTTTGTACATTTTAGTGCTGTATGTACTAAATGTATAAATACCCTAGAGATAGTCTCTATTTTAACTCTGAGCAGGACTTATCTTAGTAATATGTGCAAAAAGTCCCTTAAAGAAATACCTTTTGGGACTTCCCTGGTGGCACAGTGGTTAGTAATCTGCCTGCCAATGCAGGGGACACGGGTTCGAGCCCTGGTCCGGGAAGATCCCATATGCCACAGAACACCTAAGCCTGTATGCCACAACTACTGAGCCTGCGCTCTAGAGCCCAAGAGTCACAACTACTGAAGCCCACATGCCTAGAGCCCGTGCTCCGCGAAAAGAGAAGCCACCACAGTGAGAAGCCCACACACCGCAATGAAGAGTAGCCCCTGCTCACCGCAACTAGAGAAAGCCTGCGTGCAGCAACGAAGACCCAACGCAGCCAAAATAAAAATAAAATAAATAAATTGATTTAAAAAACCAAACAAACAAATACCTTTTGTGAAGAATAATATTTTCTGTTCATCTCTTGGCACAAGAGAGAGAAGACATTTGTCCTGCGTGCCTATTTTATTAGAAAGTGTTCTTTTGTCATAGGAATTTTGTCCCTCATCAGAAAAGAAAGAATGCTTTTTAATGTGTAGAATTATGCTGCCTCTGTTCCTGTGTCCTTTTAAAGACCCAGCGATCACCTCATCCAAGATAACAGAGTTGCCTTGAGTTTTTCCAAATATGTGCATCATCACTTATAATGAATTACTTCTGACAGTCTTCCCAACATAAATGAGTAACTTACGTAAGATGTCTGGTGTATCCTGACAGTACTTGGAATGGAGGGTCTAGTCTTGCTGCAAACATCCTCATATGGGAATGCTTAATTTTCCATCTTCTTTGAGAAAGTCAAAAAGAGGCCAAAGCATTAAAAATGTTGTCAGACATTACGTGAGATCCAACCAGCTACATGAGCTATTGTTGGTCTTAAATTCTTGAACTGACGTCTCAAGTATTTTATAGAATGTGCTGAAAGAAAACATGGTGTGGGCTCGGCTTTGCTGTCGACCACTTGAAAAGCTAGTAGACTGAGAATGCTGGAAAGGTGTAAAATCATTCGTCAGACAAAATTCTTATTTAATTTCTCTATTGGTAGTCAACAGTTGACAGCCAGGAATTATATATAAACAAAAGGGATCAACTTCACAATAAGTGAAACAAAAGTTTCTAGTAAACTCAAGTAATTTCTGCAAGAAATTAACTCAGAAACAAATTTCTGAACTCCAGTTACATTAATAGTCAATGTGAGCTTTTTCAGGAAACATAATCTGACACCTTGCTTGCATGAAGATAAAATTCAAAAGGTTAATGCCTCACTAGAGGTTACGAAATGCAACTTTGCTCGGGAAACAGGTAGTTGTCAGTGATACTTGAGGGAAAGGACTGTGCAGTTAATTGAGTTCTCCTGGCAAAAACTTGTAGATGCAAGGGGGGAAAGTGGTGGAAGAGGGGCGTGTTGGTGGGATGAATTGGGAGATTGGGATTGACATGTATACACTAATATGTATAAAATGGATAGCTAATAAGAACCTGCTATATAAAAAAATTTTTTTAAAACCTTGTAGATGCATTTTAAGTAACAGGATATTTTCAGAAGGAAGCACTAGTCAGACATTGATCTTCAGGACATGATTTCCTTAAAACAAGTTCTGCTCTTTTAAGATCAGGACTCCTCTCTCCCACCCTGTGTACAGGGCTGGTGTGTTTTCATCCATTGTCTCCACTAATCCTCACAGCAAACCTGTAGTGGAGGTGGTGAAGCTCAGTCCTACCATATTTTAATAATCATAAACTCTTACAAACTGACTGTCTCTTCAGCAGAACATTCTGAGGCTGTATCCACATAGAGAAGGCAACACAGCACTATCTAATTAGATCAGACCAACCTGACAGCCAAACAAAAGTGTTCAAGGTATTGAGGAGGCCAGGCTTTTCTTCATTCGTGTAAATTCATATCCACGACTAGGAAACTTATAAAGAATTATGTTCTTTCTCAGTCAAGAGCTCTATGTTTATTCAAGGCGTTTGAAAAAAAGTCCTCACTCATCACTTTCTCCTTAGACATTCCAACATCTATCATCAAAACATCATGCCTCTTGGCTTTCCTTGTTACTTTGAAAGTGAGCTCAGTGTCCTTTAACACAACTGTTTGACCTTATACTTTTCCAGGTTCTTCTAGTACAGTAGAAATCTCTATTTCCTCCCATAACTGCCTCCATTATGGTTTTGTTTTTTAAATTCTTGGGAGAGTTTTAACTCTGCCTTTTTTCTGCCTTCTATAGGTCTGCAAACTGCCTTGTAGCCATTATTTTGTCCTGAGGTTCTTTCTTTTTTTCAACTCTAAAATATTTCATATTGTGTTTGTGCTATATCCAAAGTATGAGAGAGAGAGAGACGGCAAAGAGCTTGATGGTGTATTGAAAGCGGTTTTACTTCATCATAAATTTATCATCTATTTGTAATTATTTCTTTTCTACAGTTCAGCATACTGAGGTTGATGGTTGGAACACTGGTGGGCTGATTCAAACTAAAATGTAGAGTGCCTCACCTAGGAAAAGTACTATTATTTTTGTGATAATAACCCCAGAATGCATTGGAAAGGGCAGAGCCTTTTTTCCTGCTTATTAAAAATTTTCTATTGTGGGTCATGCCTCAAAAGGCCAGCCTGGAAATGGAAGGCTTTGAGGGCAGTAGCTTGGTTTACAGTCTCAAACTTTAGCTAATGGGGTGTTCAGATATAAGAAGTAATGTAAACAATTGTCATTGTGTTTACAGATGTTGACGAATGTCAGCAAGGGAATCTGTGCATAAATGGGCAGTGCAAAAACACAGAGGGCTCCTTCAGGTGTACCTGTGGACAGGGCTACCAGCTGTCAGCAACAAAAGACCAGTGTGAAGGTAAGAGTGTAGCGCCGTGAACTACTGTGCTTGCAGTTTCAGGCACGTGCCTAAAAAAAAATGTGCACTCAGTAAAGTGAGTGGGTTTTGAGAAACTTACCTACGTGATTGTTTTATTGTGCCAGAAATCAAGGGACTTACACTTAAGTCAGGAAAGTCAATGAAACAGGATGGGAAAAGTCTAAATTTGAAAACTAAGGTATTGGTGGTCAGTGGCTGGGCATTACTATTGGAAAGAAAAATGGTTACTCTCTGTGTAATTCCTTACTTGCAGAAAATCAATTGTATTAAAATCATTTGAAAGTTTCACCTAATAGGATTAACACTTAGAAGGGCATTATGTCAGCCTGGTATTATGTTTGGAATATTAATGATCTAGTTTTTGTATGCATTGAGCTTTTTAAAATTCTTACTTTAAAAAAAATAATCACTAAACAAGACTTTTCAGGAAGACTGAAATAGCATCCCCCTTATACTCAGGGATAAAGTTTGTGAAATATACCCTGTTCCTACAGGTGATAGTGAGGATTTTGGATCTCACTGGGGTTGACCTTAGACTTAAAAAAAGTATTTTTCTTCATTGAACTTCATACAGAATTACAGATTGGCCCTTCAACAACACATGTTTGAACTGCATGGGTCCATTTATATGCAGATTCTTTTTCAGTGAATACTTAGTAGAGTACTACACGATCTGTGGTTGGTTGAATCCTCAGATGCAGAACTGTGGAGACAGAAGACCAACTGTCAGGTTAAATGCAAATTTTTGACTGTGTGGTGGTTGGCACCCCTATAACCCCCTCATTGTTCAAGGGTCAAATGTACTTCACTTCCCAACAAGTATATGCTTCCTGAGCTTGAAAATACTATGGTATCACCCGTGACAAGCGCAAGTGTCCAGAGTTCCTGAAAAGAAATGTCATTTAAACGTCATTTATTTAAGAATACACACTGTACATGATCAGTTGTTTTATTATAGGGAAACAAATCATATCCATGTCTGTATGTAAACTTTAGATACTTAATAAGTAGCAAGGTCTCCTGAGGTAGTGTTATAAAAGCGACAATGTATGGTGGTCCTACAAAGGGACCTACCAATATTATCATAACCTTCTTCAATTGTCCCTTTCTAGAACATAGAAAGTCATTGCAGTACCTAACCTAGAGGTGAAGAATGATCAAACACACACAAACACACTCATATACACAGATAAGTTAAGTAATTTGTTCTAGATTCTAGTCCCTCTCAAAGTTTTTATACTTTATTTAATGAATCCTGACCTTTACAGTGTGTGTGATAAGAGTAGAGGTCCACACATAATATAAGAAGGCTATCGTGTTCATAGTCCTTCCTTTTGAAGAGCCAGTGCTGTCACTCCTAGAGATAAGTCAGACACAGGAGAATCACCCACCAGGTTAGAAATAGGGGCACACCGATTTTAGGTGCTAAGTGCCAGGATAATCAGAATGATGCTATAAGCAGAGTAGGATAGAGCAGTGGTGTAGGGTCCCTGTGGTGTTAACTCTTGCAGAATCACATTGCCAGAAGTAGATACACATACGCAAAATGTGATGAATAAAGTTGATCCGCAAACAACATGAAATAAGTGCCTGCTGATTGTTGAAACACTAGGTCATCTAAGGAGTCAAAAAAGATGTGGTAGACGTAGGCCCTGCCTCAGGAAAGTCAGAATCTAATGGTGAAAGTAAATGATGGAATACATGCAATATATTATCATTCCTTTTATGCGTGGATATGATGCAGGCGCGTGTGTGAGCCTGAGCTCAGGATTGCGGTTACAAAACAAGTAATCTCTAAGCAGAGGATGTGTGTGTCAAGCAAGAGAGATTCAGGAGCAATGTAGGTATCAAATGGGTTGACAGCCCATTTGAAGGACCATTAGATTTGCCCAGAAAATCACCGAGAGAGAGAGAGAAGGTAGAAGCCTGATTGCTAGGGGTCTAAAGGGTAAATTACTGAAAAAGAATTGAAGATATTCACGCCATGACACTTTTCAATCAGGGGGGTCAGCAAACTTCTCCTGTAAAGGGCCAGATAGTATATGAATGTGTGGTGCTATTTTCCAATAAAACTTTATTTATAGTAATAGGTAGTGGTGGGCTGTAGCTTGCTGACCCCTGCTTTAGACTATCACAGGCCTTAGTGCTTTTAAACTCAGAGTGTTAAACTTAAACCTATAGAAGGAATTCCAAGAAGCTTCGTTGTGATTCCCAGATTACAGCCAAGTATTTGCCCCTCATCAGTGACCAGTAGAATTAATATGTACAGATTCTTAGCTCATTGCTTAAAATTTTAAGCTCATCTGGTTTTCCCTACAGGGATATTAATGAGTGACCTTTTACTAGAGGTCAGTTTGAATCACATAATGAAAATTCTAAATTAATTAGAAACCAGATAGTTTATAGGCCTCCTTTACATGAATGATTAAAAACTCACTTTTAAAGCACCACTTCTAAGTTTCTTTTTACTCTCTTGCTCATAGATATCGATGAATGCCAGCACCGTCATCTCTGCAGTAATGGGCAGTGCAGGAACACGGAGGGCTCCTTCCGCTGTGTTTGTGACCAGGGTTACAGAGCGTCGGCCCTTGGAGACCATTGTGAAGGTGAGAATTGCTCTTGATTGCAGAATCATAAAACGTGAGAATCAGGATCAGGGAAATCTGGACATCATCCTGGCCTCTGTCCTTGACACCATACTTTTGACTTCACAGTTGAGGACACGAGGTCCCTGCAAGATATTTTCCCCATGGTCACACGAATAGTGCCAAGAAGTGCATAGAATCGAGGTTTTCCTTACACTACTCAGAGCAGTTATGCCAGAAGAATTATGCCAGCTAATAAAGAATCAGTTTAACTTTTCTCAGCTGTGGTTGGTTTATCCTGGGTGTATAGTTCTGTATAGCATCCATTGGGATGCAGGACCAGTGGTACCAACGATCCAAGTAAGTAAAGACAAGTTAATTTTCCAGAAAAATGTAAAGTTTTTAAAGCCAGACTTTAATTCAATTTTGAGCTTTTCACATAAAATATTTCTTCAAGATAACCCATGTGTACAGCATTTGTGAGTTGTTAACCACTTTCACTACCTGCCTTGGCTCAGAACCCCTTTGGGTGGTCAGGGCTGCTGAAGCTGCCTGTCACCAGCCTGTCACTTGTGAATTCTCTGTGTTCACTGTGTGTTTTTCCCACTCATCTGCTGATTTGCTGCATTTAGACCCTGTCAGTTATGAAAGCAGAAATGTGAACATGGCAGGGTTTGCCTCACATGGTGAGGTGGTGTCTGCTTGAGGGTCTGAACGCCACCTTTGATAGAAGAGGATGAGCTTTTCAGTGACTGGTTTTGTGGCACATACTTCAGTGGCCCCAGATACTTTTGGACTTTTCAGTCCCATTGGTTGGGAAAGATCAACTGTATTGTATCCTTCTCTTCTGACCAGAGAACTTGGCTCAAACAGTGACAACCTGTCTGGAGGGCAATTGGTACCGTTTCAGAGGTGTTAAAATGTACATTATTGTTGAATCAGTGGGTCATCTTCTAGGATTTTATCCTAAGGTAATAATGTTTTTCAAAGGGTTAATACAACCAGTGAAAAGTTGTAATCAACATACCTATTGAACAAATAGGCAAATGATCAAGTGATAAGTCATAATAGCAATAATAATTGGTTGTCTGAAAACTGTGGATGGGGAACTCTGCGATATATGGGTAAATGTTGATGATTCAGCATAGTGGCAATGCAAGATGGAAGAGGCAGTCGTGTTTCTGGGAGCCAGTCATGGAAGAATCTATTCTAGAAGTAAGTAGGTGGTAGGGCACATGCTAAGGCACTGTAAACCTACACTGACCACCAGTATGTTTTTTGCCCTAATTCCTGGCCTAGCCAAGAGGATAACCAGGCCATTGACTAAGTCTTGGGTAGTGCGTGCTTATTATAGGACATGTTCCTCTATTTTGGCTGTTTTAATATGTAACCATTTCACCAGAAGTCCAATATTTTTATTCTAAAACCATCCATTTCATGAAAAGCCAAATAAAACCTTTTCCCCAGCTTCCTTGTCATTATTAATATATATGTTCCATTAGAAAGCTTCTTTTTAAGTATATAATCAGACTCTTTTCAAGTCAGGACTAATTTCCCTAGTGTCTTAGGTTATAAATAGGACTGGAGTCCAGTCAATTAATTCAGAGCTCCCTTTGAAACAATATTAGCACTTCGGCCTGCTAATTCCCAACAAGCGCTGTTTCTGACCCTTCCCAGTCTTATGCAGCTGTAATTAACTGAGCTGTGACGGCTCACATACCTTTCACAGCTGTGGGAGGAAGAGCCATCTTTCTTGTTGGCATTTCTAATTTTCCTCTTCTAACTCTGGCAGAGACTTGTTTTCTTACAGCGTTATCCTGCAGTCCTGCTGGCCTTGTCGTGGAGTCAGAATCCCAAGCATTGTGCTAATTTCTGTGGGCAACATATGCCAGCACAGTCAGTAGCCACTCAGTCTGTGATTCTGGGTGGCCTCAGTTGTCCTGGTTATTAGAGGTCTTGGCATCTCAGCCTTCAAAGGCTCTGCCTCTGACTTGTTTTCCCTCCAGGCACAGTCTCTGCTTCCATGCCTACCTTGGCACCTTCCCCAGCCCCTTGCTGTGGTTGCTCCATGCTAGTCCCTTGCAAAGCCTGAGAAGAAGGTTCATGATTTACTCTGTCTTCCTGTGGCCCTTCTCTGTTGGTCATTTCTTTGCAGACCAAATCGAAAAAGGGAAGAAGTGCTAGTATTTCTTACCTTCTGACATTTCTTTCCAAGGCAGAGTCATCCATTTATTCATTTATGCATTCATTCAACAAAAATTTGAGTGTCAAGGATGTGCCAGGCACTGTTCTAGTAGGTACAGGATATACAGCAATAAACCAAACAGACAAAAAGTCCTGCCCTCGTGGAGCTTACATTTTAGTGAGGGAGATAACAATAAAAGTGATAACTAAATAAACTATATAGTTTGTTAAATGGCAGTAAATGTTAAGGGGAAAATTAAAGTGAGGTACATGGGGGGTGCTGAGGGAGGGAGGGAGAGTTGATGGTCTTAAATAAGTAGGCAAGCAGAGGTTAGCCTGAGATGATGACATTTGATTATTTCTGGGGGAGTGTGTTCCATGCAAAGGCTTTGTGAAGGAGATCAGGAGCTGGACTTGGGCATTTTCAGTTTGTGTTGCCTACAGTGGGTATCCAAATGAAGGTATCTGAAAGACAATTGGACCTATGTGTTTGGAATTCAGGCGTGAGTTCTGAGCTGGGATTCATCAGCATGTAGACAGTGTTTCAAGCCATGAAGTTGGATGGGATCACCAAGGGAGTGAATGTAGCTAGAAGAGATAAGTTGTCCAAAGACTGAGCCCTTGTCCCTCATTTATTTAGAAGTGAGGAGGTGATAAGGAACAGAGGGGATTGAGAAAAAGTGGCAAGTGAAGGAGCAAAACCAAAATCCAAGAGAAGAGAACATTTCAAAGAGGGCGTGATGAGCTTGTGTCAAACATTGCTGCTAGGCAAGATGAGGACCAAAAGTTGACCATGGCATCTAGCCAGGTGGATCCTTGGTGACTGCCAAAGCATTCTCAGTGGAGAGGTGACCACGACTGACTGTTGCTATCCTTAAAGCCTGATGGCCAACTCCTAGAAGAAATTCCTCTTTCATATCACCCTAGTCGGTGGTGTCAGAGAGTCCCACATTGGGCTCTCTTAATATTCCACCTACTCTTTTTTTTGCTTTTGAAGATAGAGATCTTGCAAAATTTTTAAACTAAACCAGACTCTGACATAATGCAGTGAGTTTTAAAATCTGTACAATTATTTATAAACATTTAAAAAATACTTCCTTTTACTCTCATATACATTATTTCTCTTAGATTTTGGAAAGTGAATGAAAATTATTTTAGGATAGGGTGAACAAAGCTGACACATTTCCATTATGCTGAGGCACATATATTGGTAATACAGTGTTGTTCCTGAAATTCATATCCTCAGGATTCTACTTGCTCTATTTTGAATTGAGATTTTTCACATAATGCTAATGATCAAATGTGCCTTTTCTTATTTTGTTGTCTCAGTTTCCGAAAGAGCAAAGAAAGAAAGGTAAATCTAAAAATGGACCTCCAACTCAACACCTGTTAGAATGGCTGTGGAGCTATTAGAATAAATATGGAACAGTTGGAACTCTCTTACCTTGCTGGTGGGAATGTAAAATGATACAGCCACATTAGAAACTTCGAAAGTGAAACCTGCTATGTGACCCAGCCATTCTATTCCTAGGAATTTACTCAAGGAAAATGAAAGCATATATTCACACAAAGACTTACACATGAATGTTTATCAAAACTTCACTCATAATAGCAAAACTGTAAACAGTCCAGATACTCATCATAGGTGAAGGGTAAACAAATCGTGGTACATTCATACAATAGAACACTACTCAGCAATAATGAGAGAGCTATTGATACACATGACAACCTGGATGACTCTCAAAAACACTATGCTGAGCAGAAGAAGCCAAACAGAATAGGGGTACAAGTAACCTTTTGGGGCAATGGAAATGCCTATACCTTTTTGGTAATGATTGGTCCAGGTTATTCCTTTAGTACATGTTTTACGGCAAAGATCCATAAACAGTAGACTAGAATATCCCCATTTGGCTCAACCCCTTCAAAATCATGAAATAAGCAGAGAGTTGGGGCTTAAGAATTATTTTCACAGAAGTTATATCTAAAAACCTTTTCCCAATTAAATTTGGTTCCACTTTTAGGAATCGTGATCTACCAAAGGTCAGTTAATCAGTGAATAAAACCTTTGTTGGCATAGTCAGGCTTTGCAGGAGACACTTAGTCCTCCGTGCTGTTATCTTTCTTAATTGTGCATGATGGTTCCTTTACGGATTCTTTCACAGAAATTATAACACCCAAGGCATTAGATTAACAGGAATGGAGATTTTAAGGTCAGACTGGAAAAAGAGACTAAGGAAAATGTCACCAAGCTTTATGTTTGTCACTACAGAATGACATTCTTACAAAGGTGTGTCATTAATTCCTTAAAAAACATTGCATTTGCAATGATGTTAAGAATCCAGCAGCGGATCCTTACAGATATAAATTGATACAGAAATGCCTGTGCCTTGATTGTGATGGTGGTCACAAGAATGTGTCTACATTTGTCAAAACTCATTGAACTGGACTCTCAGACACATTCGTTTTATGTAAATTATACTTCAGTGAAGTTGGAGAAACACACTAAAGAAGAAGTGATGAATCACTTTGGTTGTGACGGAGTCACATCAGCATTGTTTTACATTTTAGGATCTAGTATTCAGAAACACTATTAATATGGGTGAACCTCATAATGATTTATTTTGATAGAATGAAATTATAAGGTGCTTCTCTTTTATCTGCCCCATGAATGGTACAGAAGGCAGTTGATTAGTTGCTTGGGTTCTATGAGGAATATTTAATTCCTTGTGCCCACATTTTCAACCAGACAGCGAGGAGAATAAGGCAGCAACAGTCTCCAGATTCACTTCTTCCTGGACCTCCTCGTGTATTTTAGCAGCAATCATAATTATTAGCAAGAAATGCCATAACATGCCAAATTTCTGAGGAAACAAAGAAGGTTTTGTTCTTTGTTAATACTTTGAATCCTACACATACAACAGAATCGGGGCTCATGGAGTGTGTTAGGAATAATGAGCTCTGACTAGGAGTAAATGAGGTAATAAACAGCCCTAGTGAAAGATCTGCCTCGAGTTCATGCAGCAAGGGGGGGTCATTAATTGTCTTACATGCTCACAGTCAAGACCCATTATTGGTAACATAAACCATTTTTAGTTGCATATACATTATAAGTACATACGTTAGAAAAAATCTAGGCAACACTGTACCTGTTTGTGATAACTGCTGAGTAAGTGACTTGATTTTGTTGACTCCCTTGCCTGCCAAAAACTCTTCTTCCCCCTCTGCCACTTTCCACCCTGCTGTCAAGGCTCCAAGTAAGTTCCTTATGTTACACAGGCCACCTTTGACCTCTGTAGTGTCTCTTCTCTAAATTCATGTGACACTGGAAGTTGGTTTTATTCTTTTGGCAAATATCTTTTTTGACAATTCTTATGTTAAATTACTTTGAACTTACAAAGCAACTCAATATTTTTGTTTTTTCTTCTTAATATAATTTGGGTTTTTTGGTACAGTCACTTTTCTTTGGAGGCAGGGAGCATGCCAAGTACTTTAAAAATCTTTCCTGTAATGCATAATACAGGATCTTGTATTAAATAGATGCTCAAGATATTCTTATTTGAAGAATAATTTTATTCTCTATCATCACGGAGAATTTAACCAAGTAAATTACTGTTTGTTATAGGATCTTTACTTTCCTCTTTGAATTGATTTTGTTTGATGTTAAAACTTGTTTATTTATTGTGCAAAGCTAAAATCCTTTCAAAATATTTCATTTCTCAAAACCTCTAAAAGGTAAACCATCGTCCATTTAAAATCATGCGTTACGAGAGATGTAAAATAGTGTTCATTTATGTGAGTCTGGTGTGTAAACGTAAGGAAAATGTTTTTCTAAATACATTTTGTCTTTTAAATTTTGTAAATTGACTTGTAGATATCAACGAGTGCTTGGAGGACAATAGTGTTTGCCAAGGAGGAGACTGCATTAATACTGAAGGGTCCTATGATTGTACTTGTCCAGATGGATTCCAGCTAAATGACAATAAAGGATGTCAAGGTACTTCTCTCTCCATCTTTTAAGTTATAATTTACATTATTGTTCAGTTCTGCGTTGCTTCCTATGTTAGTCTGCGGTTTTACCACTTTATAGGTAAATGAGCTATGCCAATTTGTATTTGTATAATATTTTTCTTGAGTCTACATAAAGTACAGGAAGTTCTCGCTTTGCACTGCACCATGTTAACTGAAACTCGTGTTTTGGAACTGTGTCCTAGCTTTGTGTGCTTCTGTGGTAACTGAGATCACCTGTACTTTGCTGTTCCTTCCATGGGCCAACCTTGGTACTTGATTCTAAATTATCTTCTAGCTTTTTTATCTCCTTCATGGGTCTATGTAATTTTGTCCCGTAGCTGATATGTATCTGCTTTTTTTTTTTTTTTTTTTTCCCTGATCCCTGTTTTTATCCAGTATCCAGCTTCTCCTCTCCCCCAAAAACCTCACTAATGTTTTGGTCACAATTATAGAGGACAGGATTTTATGTTTTTTCAAAGTGCTATCATGTTTAATCTCCTAAACAGCAGTCCTCCTCCCCTTATCTGTGGTTTCACCTTCTGCAGTTTGTTACCCACAGTCAGCTGCAGTCAGAAAATATTAGGTGGAAAATTCCAGAAACAATTCACAAGTTTTAAATTGCTCACTGTTCTAAGTAGTGTAATGAAATCTCGTTCCATCCCGTTTCATCCCACCCGGAGCATGAATCATCCCTTTGTCCAACGTGTCTCATCTGTTAGTCACTTAGTAGCCATCTCCGTTGTCAGATCCATTGTCGAGGTATCACAGTTCCTGTGTTCCAGTAACTCTTATTTTACCTAATAATAGTTCCAGAGCACAAGGGTAGTGATTCAGCAATTTGGATATACCGAAAAGAAGCCATAAAGGTGCTTTTTTTTTTTAAATGAAGAGGTGAAGTTCTTGACTTACTAAGGAAAGAAAAAAAATCATGTGTTGAGGTTGCTAAGATCTATGGTAAGAACAAAGAGGGAAAAAGAAATTTGTTCTAGCTTTGTTGTCACCCCTCAAACTGCAAAAGTTAACGGCCACAGTGCATAAGTCCTTAGTTAAGATGAAAAAGGCATTAAATATGTACAATAAGATAATTGGAAAGAGAGAGAAATTACATTCACATAACTTTTATTACAGTATACTGTTATAATTCTATTTTTAGTTAGTGTTGTTAATCTCTTACTGTGCCTAATTTATCGATTATACTTTATTATATGTATGTATAAGAAAAAAGTAGTATATATACGGTTCAGGACCGTCCATGGTTTCAGGTATCCACCGGGGGTCTTATAATGTATCCCCTGGGGGTAAGGGAGGACTGACTGTACAGTGGACACAAGGTACTAATAAGAACACAGCACCAATCACAGCACAGCTTTAACTGAATACCTACTGTGTGCCAGTTGCTGAATTACCTTACTTAATTTGTAAAGAATTGAAGAGGCAACTTTTCTTTTATCCATTTTGTGCATGAATAACCGAAGCTCAGAGAAGTTAATTAGTATGTTCCTCACTAATAAGTAATTGAGCTGAGATTTGAACCCAGGATCTTTCCCCACTATTTTCTCTACATCGCCGTGCCAATTATTGTTACACTTATAGCCAAAGGAAGGAAGACAATGAGATTCAGTGAATTTTTTTTTTTTCCCAGTGTAACATATTGAGTCATTGTTGATGCTGGGGTTAAAAAATCAGATTGTCTAGATCGTTTGTTCCATCAGTTTTAGCTACACCTAACTGCCCCACAAGTTTTCCTATAATTATTAGTCTTAATAAATCCATGCCTTTTTTCCCATTGAAAACTCAAACTTACCTGTACTCTTACTTATTTCTAATACTGGATAAATTTTTTTTTCTCATTGTTCCTCTGCCATTATGGAACTCTGTAGTGTATCCCAAAGTACATATAAATAAAAGCTTGTTGGAGTCATTTTTTATCCATTGCTACTGGACATGTATGACTTTTTTGTTCTCGATTGTCATAAATTATATCCCTCTCACATGTCCCAAATCACAGTATTCTTAAAAGGGAATATTATACTCTGTGTATCATTATCTACACTCAGCTTTGTGTCCCTGAGATACAAAAGACATGGGCCTTTGCCTTACTGATCCCAAGATTTAAATATACTGCAGTGTGTACCTCATTTGATATCATATATTTATTTACCTTCAAGGTGAATTTAAATTTTTCAGTATTTCCAATACAGAAATTAAATGTGCTTGGATTTAATGTAGTTGAGAAGAAAGGTTTGAATTATAAATTTATGTGACAATATTTCCATTTGGGGTCTTTTACATCTTAATAAAATCTTGATTTATATAAAAATGCCAAGAGATACCCCCCAAACCACCTGAATCCTGTTTTTACTACAGACATTTGGGCTTAGAAGTAACATTTTTTCTGTTTCCTCTTGTCACAAATTTTTGACCAAATAGAGGTAAAACCAAGTCTTGTATAAAGAGACCATGATTTCATATTGCAAATTATATGCACTTCCAGAGTTAAAGTGCATAAAACTCATTTAGCCATCTGATTAATTATACTGTCTTCTCTCCATATATTAAATTTGTGTTTGTGATTTGATAGGAACTCATATGTGACTGCTCCAAACATATGATGTTTTATTGACTATAAATCTTTTTTTTTTTTTTTTCTTGCGTTATGCGGGCCTCTCACTGTTGTGGCCTCTCCCATTTGCGGAGCACAGGCTCCGGACGCGCAGGCTCAGTGGCCATGGCTCACGGGCCCAGCCGCTCCGCGGCATGTGGGATCTTCCCGAAACGGGGCACGAACCCGCGTCTCCTGCATCGGCAGGCGGACTCTCAAGCACTGCGCCACCAGGGAAGCCCTATAAATCATTATTAAATTGACTTTGTTCTCAGTCACATTGATGATTCCTGATTTCCAGAATAAATTAACGTCTGCTTGAAAAACTTATATCCAAACGAATGAAAAATATTCCTGAAGCGGGATAGAGTACCATTTAAAAAATACTATCTGTGAATATGCTCCATCACCCACCTTCTCTGATTAGAGTCTGTTTTTAATACCATGTGCACTCACCTTGTTTTGAATCATCTCTCTTTGCCACGTCACTGGAGGCAGCTTTGTGATCCTTCGCTCTGCCTGAAGTTAGTAGCCTACTTCTATCTAATCCCATGATTGTGTCAGAATTCTGTACATGGGTGTAGATTTCAGAGTTTGTTTTAATGCTGAAAACATAATTGATGACAATGTGAATAACCGTGGAACATATTTGAATAATAATGCATGATAGGCATAAACTTTAAACCTCACCTAATAATCTGAAGATAGTTCCATATTCAGGAAGGCATTTTCAATCGAAAGTGTAAGAATCTCTTCCCCCAGCAAAGTTAACGATGTCATACAGACAGCATGGAAATTCTATGTTAATACTCTCTTTAGGAATGTGGCAGCATACATTTGATCTTCAGAACACACTCAGTTTCACGTTTTGACTTACACGTGCCAAACTGTGAATTTCTGTGGAATCTTGGACCTATGAAGAAACCCAACGTAAATATAGTCTGGCTTTTAGCAGAGTTACTAGCAGCATAGTTTAGAAATGCCTCAATAAGTGCAGCCCAAATTGAATGCATATGTTTCTCTGGTTCCAGATATTTGTACTGTTCTTTCTTGGTGGTTTCCTGGAAAAAAGTCTCGGAATTCATCTTCAGTTCCTGTCATCAGACTTTTTAGACAATTATTTGTTAATCAGTGACTTCTCTTTAAGCAAGAAGTTTATGCCCATACTTCCCTATGCAAAGTTGCAAAAGTCTGACAGCTTTTATAGGGCCATATTGAGTCACAGGTAAAATAAGGAGGTGGTCTTGGATAACCTCTAGGGCTCTACAAGATGGATATCGACCTGGGACTTGATCTCCAGGCCAGTGGAAGTTTATGGCACTTTGTTGCCCAGGTAGAGGGCAACAGATTCTAGGCAGCAGATTGGAAAGAAAGAATGGAGCTAACGGGTAAAAGAAGGCCAGAGTTCAAGAAAGATTACAACCTAAGGTATTATCAGTAGGTAGAGAGGAAACACAGAGGATACCAGAGATTTTATAAAAGAAGTGACGAATTTCACAGAGTAGAATCATGTTGAGAAATAGCAAAGTAAGAAATGATTCATTGCTCTTCCTTGAAATATTTTAGTGACAATTAGAAGAATGGGAGAATTGTTAAGGAAATGAGTAATTCCTATTTGATTTCTTAGTTGGGCTCAGCAGTAGATAAGCCAGTTAGCCTGAAATATATGGCAGAAGGAAGGGTAGAGAGTTCAGGCTTAATACAGAGATGGCTAAATCAGTAATATTGCTGGAATTCCTATTACACAGTGAGATCAACAGGGCAAAAAGAAGAGCCCCAGGAGATCCTGGATATGGGGAAAGGGATGACCCTCTGGAGGAGGTGAGCTGCCAGGTTGGTGGCTAAGCATGTTCTAGAGGTCACTAGGAAGGTCCCATCATCTGTACCTTTTCCATGTTCCCATTAAGCTTTACAGTTATTCATGTTGGTTCCTGCCTCCCCTGTGAGCTTCATAATGGCAAGGGCCTCTTCCTACTCAGCCTTCTCATAGGAAGCCTTCAGCCAAAGTTTTTAATTGAATTAAAGATGGATTTTTAAGAGGATATGTTGAGGACCTCTTTAGCAAGAGATAAAGAGGAGGACCTAGGCGACTTCAGAAAGATAGGAAAATGACCTTAGTAGGGCTACTGCCTGGATGGTGCCAAGCACCTGTGATACTTTTTATGACCCCCAATTAACTAAGAGAGCCTCAGTCAATCACTCTTCAGTTATTAGAGAATGAACAAAACTGTGACATTTTTTGGTGGGCAAACATTCATAGTACACTGTTCACTTGCTGTGCTAGGAGTTGGGGACTCAGAGTTAAAATATGCAGTTCTCCTTAAGAAGCAGTCAGTGCAAGAGGGACACAGATGAGACAAACAGCAGTTAAAATGCAGTGCGTGGGCTCCCCTGGTGGCGCAGTGGTTGAGAGTCTGCCTGCCGATGCAGGGGATGTGGGTTCGTGCCCCGGTCCGGGAAGATCCCACATGCCGCGGAGCGGCTGGGCCCGTGAGCCATGGCCGCTGAGCCTGCGCGTCCGGAGCCCGTGCTCCACAACAGGAGAGGCCGCGACGGTGAGAGGCCCGCGTACCGGAAAAAAAAAAAAAAAAATGCAGTGCGCATAGGCAGTTGCATGTGTGAGCACCAGTTTGAATAGGTGAACCGTTCTCCATGATTCCTTATGTTTTCCACTGTGGGCACTCTTAGCCAGCATAACTAGGATTAGTTTGAAAGAACACTGCATTTACACCAAATACTTCAGGCATTATCAGTGTTTAGGAGTGCATCATCACCCTGGCTACAGGGAGCATAATCATTCTTCATTGGGGGCAAGCAGAGTATGAGATGGTCAACACAACTACAGCATGATTTGTTCATGGTAATAGTCGCTACCACTTTTTGACTCTTGGTTGTGTTGGGTACTACATTAAGCGCCTGATGCTCATTCACTAATTTCATCATCACAAAGCTGTGCCAATATTAAGACTTTCCCTGGTATAAAAGGCCTTTTTCTTGTACTTTATTTCTTGTATCCATTTTCAGTGATATATAGATTGTAGTCTATTTCATTTGTATATTCAGACATCTGAGAAGTGCCATTTTTGAGCCAAACACTGTAAGACACGTCCAGCCTTGCCCTTAAGAAGTTCACGTCCCAGGGATGGATAGGCATGGACATGGGGAGACGCACAGGCCACAGGAGAGTTGTTTGCATGGTGGTGGGAGAGGACGAAGGAGAGCACAGTATTCACACTGAAGAATGTTTCACAGAGGATTTATTTGATTGTAGACCCTCAGGCCTCCAATATGTCTTTTTAAAAAAGGGTACCTTTGGGTTGAAACTATGAAACTGCTTTTTTTTTAGGTTGAAAATGGTTTGAACATTGGCTAGTTCCTGTGATTCAACCTAAGTAGTTTCTCTCTGCTGACAGTCCAACTTGTCTTGTGGTCTGGTGTGTGTACAGACTGTATAGTTGTGCCATCAAATAAGTGTCTGACCATGTTGTATTAGATTTTTCTTCCTGTATGTCTGGTATCATAAGAAGACAAAACAGATTTTTTTCAAGTATGTGGAACTCTTCTTGATTCCAGATATTAATGAATGTGAACAGCCTGGACTCTGTGGTCCTCATGGAGAGTGTCTAAACACAGACGGTTCTTTTCACTGCGTCTGCGAGCAGGGTTTCTCAATCTCTGCAGATGGACATACATGTGAAGGTAAGACAAACCATAAGACATCACATAATTATTGCATGATAAGGCAGAGAGAAGATCACTCTCTATTTTAATAGGCAAAGGCTCTGAGACACTGAAAGGCACGCATGATTTAAGGCCTTAGAACATGTATGCACCAAGATGACCCCTACCCGAAATCACAGCTCGGGGTGGCTGGGATTTACAAACAGGATAACCAGCCATTATGATGGTGAAAATACTCACAGGTGATTCCACTACTGGTACTGAATTAACAAGTCAAAATGTGTGGGAGGTGAGGATTTTAGGTGCACATGGGAGACCTAAAGGAAAACGGGGGCAACATCCTGATGTAACTCGAGACTGCCAGTTTTGATTATGCTTCATGTAGACCATCTGAATCATTCTGTTTATAAAAATGCCTTGCTTGATTTTTTTCTCTGCACCACTGTCAGCAGAGATTTTCCAGAGTTATTTCTCTAATATCCTTAGCTCTAAGCCAGTATATTTTCTTATCTATCAGTATTTATTATGTCCGAAAAGCTAATTAACTTGTAAGATGTTAAGATAACACTGTGGGCTTCCCATTGGCAACCTCTGTATGTTTGCAGGGATACAGCACTGGTTATATTCATAAGATTTATATCTTGATGACTTATTATAGTTTGATAAATTGAGGAATAATTCATCTGAACCTTTATGAAAGTAAACCGAGGAGATTCCTATAATCATAATTTTAATCCATCCCTTTGTGCATCTAGGTTATCAAAACCCAGCTATGTTTTAAAGAAGTATGAAGGTTTTGTTCTGGGCCTGTGATAGGATCCAAATGCTTTGCTCTAAAAAATAGTGCAGCAGGAAGTGTGTGCTCTCCTTACCCATACCACAGTGGAATCAAGCCGAGGAACGGCAACCAGGTTCATCTGAAACTAATTATTATATTGGGAAGAATAAACTGATCTTATAAAAAGCAGGAGATTGTTGAAATTGCTCTCTTGCTGAGCAGACAAAACATTGATACCAGATTTGGTTTCAAGTGAAAGAGAGATAGTGCAGGGTGGGGTTTAAACAAGCAGATTCTGAGGGGTTTGAAAGTGATCAAAAGTGGGGAAATGGAGAAAAACATCATAAAGATGGCCATGAGAGGTTTACTCCATGTTTCAGTGGTTCGAGTTTTAATTAATTTTATATATAGAGCTCTTAAGAAAGACAGGGCATGAATGCGTACATTCCGGGGGGATCACAGTGTTCCCTGGTGGAGGGAATAGGGTGCTAGCCCATCTGAGTCACGGACGAAACGAATTTGCAGAATGCACATTTCCCTGCCTTCTAGAAAGGTGCAGGCTTGCTTCTTCAGCTAGCTCTAAAACACGGATAGTAAGGGCTTCCTTTGCTGAAAATTGGTCCCAGTTACAACTGCCAATAGCTGTGCCATGCAAAAACTATATTCAGAAAAAATGTAAGTCACCTCAAGTGCTCACCAGTCAAAGCCATTGCTCCAGAAGAATATACCAATATAAGCATATTCACATTTATTTTTTCTTTTGTACTTTATAATTTGTCTTTAATTCTGTATCTTTTAAAATCCTGATTTCTGCAACTCCAGAGTTACATAATCACTCTAATTTAGTTTCTGTTCTAATTTTGTTAGTCATTTACTTGGCAGAGATTTGAATTTTAAAATGTGTTTTTAGAAAACTTCCAGTACTTTGTAAATTACTGTACTTTAGTATACTGCCTTTGACACTTGTTCCATATTTTTTGCTCCAGAATCTGGACAGTTTTACAAAAGTAAAAAAAAGTAGATAATTTAGAATATTGTGCTGATATATGGCAGTATAACTAGGAAGCTCCCTAATTATTAGGCATGTTAATCTCTTTTTAGAATAAGCTTTGCAAGATTTTCATTTTTTGTGGTCTTAATCCAATATATTAAACTGGTCCAAATTTTCTGTTGTTGGACTTAAGTCTGAAACTTGTGACAGTAGCAGTATGTCCTGATTCTACCTTTGGCAGTGGTGTAGGACGAAGCTAGTCCATGTGATGGGAATTGAGCTATGGAGGTGATGTGCATAGGACTTGAATTAACATTGAGAAGTGGCTGGCACCCTTTTTTCATGCCCATCCACCAGCTTACTTCCGAACTTCTAATTAAAGCAGTTGAAGCCACGTGGATGTGTGAGGGCTGGCATACCCTGCTTTAAGCAGGGCTGAAGGAATCCCACCCAGATGAGGGAAGGAGGGCCCTTCCCTGATTTCCTATGACTCGGAGAGTTGTCAGCATCTCTGCACAGTTATTGAACCACAACGAAGAGGTGTACTCTGTCAACATGAACTGTCTCAGGTATCAAGTAGCATGGCCGATTCTTTGGAAATACAAACAGCACCACTGGCTCCTTCCTTTCCCTTATGTATGTGCTGCTCTGGGAGCATGTATGTGGGAGAGGATGGAGAAACATCTTGTTTTTCCCACGTGAGATAAAGAAGAACAACAGTGTCATTTGAAGTTTGAGTGGAGTGGGAAGGAAGTGATGGGTGAGCAGCTATTTATTTATTTATTCACTCCCTCAGCAGTGACAGAGTGCCTGTCTTGTGCCAGGCACCATTACTGTTCCGAGGGCAAGACACACACTGTTCTTGTCCACGTGGAGCCTACATTCTAGGAAGGGATTCAGGGATCAATAAGTAAATAGTACACATAGAAAATTACGTTGTTGTATTTAAATAATATAACATGGTTATACTTCATGGATATAAATAAGTGCAGGGTATGGCATGCCATATATAATTTATAAAGCACACAGTTTTTTTCCCCAGGTCCTACATGTGGATGTCAGGAAAGTGCAGGGAAGCAGGACCCTTCTGGTTTACTTCCACCTCGGTAGTTCTCGGTAATTCTTTCTTTTCTTCTCATAACTGCAGTTCATCTTTTCCTGCCACCTCCTGCACCCTCTAGCCAGAGCTTTTATTTTGTGTAGGAAAACAAAGGAAACTTTTTCTTCCTTTGTTCAGCTCACTGTTTTATATTTCAATTTATCTTACCGATTTGTTTTAAAAAGTTACAATTCTTTGGCTCCTTTATTTTTCCCCACTTTTTAAATTGCAGCATTTTAATTCATAGGAAAAATATGTATCAGCCCGTTTATAAGCTGACTCAGGGTTTGGTTTCTTCATCGTCAGCAGGATGTGAGTGAGTGGGAAGAAGAATAGGGAAACTTGTGACTGTATCCTCAGTGTCACCATGTCTGTCCCCTGACTCCCATAGAGAAATGCCTCCTGGTCTCTGACTTGGCATCACTCCATTCACGTGCCTCTGGGCAGGCTGCTTTTGGCCAGGAATGGCTGTGCTCTCCCAGTTGGGTGTCCAGGTTGACTGAGACCTTGTATGACAACAAGTAGAATTGGGGACATTGGGCATCTCTAGACCCCACTGTGTTTTCTAGTCTGTTCACATAATAGACTGGGCACACTGGTCTAGCAGGAACCTCAGAGGAGCCCGGCAACACAGAGGGAGCGTTGGTGACTTACGGAACCTGCTTAGTCATGGCTAATTAGGCCTCCAAACCATGACCAAAATAACTCCCTAAAGCCCTGTCCTTTAGAAAGAAGCCTCATTCATTCATCCATTTGACAAATATTTATTAAGTGTGTGCCATGTACTGACCACTCTTTTAGGAACTGAGGCTGTGTCAGTGAACAAAAAAAGATCCCCAGTTTCTTGGAGGCAATAAACTAATAAGCAAACTACGTAATATGCTAGACAGTGATAAACCCCATGAAAAAGAGCAGAGTAATGGGGTTCTGAGGTCTAGAGTGAAGAATGGAAGCTGGTACAGTACAGACTAGGGTAGTCACAATGGGCTGTTCTGCCTCTGTAATATGGGTTAATGAAAGTAATACTAAAATGGTGTCTGAGTAACAGATAAAGCCATATTAAGTGCCTTTCTTTTTTTTTTCATCTCCTGGCTAAGTGATAATAGCCTGTCAATAAATAGACAAGAGGACATGAGATCATCTGCTAAAGGCCTTTTTCCAGTTACCAACATGAGTTCTATTGTCCAGACAGGGAAATAAAAAATCAGAGTACAACACCAAGAGCAAACCCTAATGTGAATTATCGGCTTTGGGTGATCATGATGTGTCAGTGTAGGTTCATCAGTTGTAACAAATGGACCCCTCTGGTGGGGGATGTCGACAGTGGGTGACGCTAGGGGAGGGCTTTGGGAAAACAAGGGGAATATGGAAACTTTCTGTGAAATTTTACTGTGAACCTGAAACTGCTCTTTAAAGTCTGTTTTTAAAAATCAGGCATTCCGGGCTTCCCTGGTGGCGCAGTGGTTGAGAGTCCGCCTGCCGATGCAGGGGATGCGGGTTCATGCCCCGGTCTGGGAAGATCCCACATGCA